ATTTATATCAAAGTGTGAATGGGCTAATGCACTAGATAAACATGAACAAATTTTTAGTAGAAAGATGGATGGTGCAGGTCATTCTGGTGAGGTATCAAATGGAAATGAGAAATATGTTACTGGAAACTTGAGGAAAGGTGGTCTGTAGTATAAAGTGGCAAAGAACTGGACTGAATTGGGTTCATGTTCTACTGTTTTGCGGAAGGTAGAACTTGAGAGCAATGAAACTGGATATTTGACTGAGGAAATCTATAGGCAAAGTGTTGAAGGTGTGGCCTGGCTCCTCCTGACTACTTATAGTAAAATGCCAGAAGGGAGAAATGACTTAAAGACAGAATTCTTAAGCAAAAAGCAAGCAGAATTTAAACAGTTGGAAAATTCCCAGCTATCCATATTGCAAAAAATGAGAAATGCCAAGCAACCATTTGAGAGGGAGATTAGAATGGAAGTGAATCATGAATTTAATTAGTCACGCCAGGAGAAAAATTAGCAGTTGAACTGACACCTAAGAAGAGTGTGTGGAGGGGAAGGAGATGGGAAGTAATGAAGGAAGGCTGTCAGACTTCTTGGATAGCCAAATGGGACCATTTGGCTAGGAATGTGCACTATTCTTCAAGACAAGGGAAGAATGGTCCCAAAGGCAATTCAGGGACCATCAGAGCTGCCTTCTTGGTCTCAAAAGGGGGATCATTGGCTTGCTTTTGATAGGCCAGATTGCTAGGCCAGATTGCCTCTGCCCAAACCTGTGCCAGCTACCTAGTGGTCTGGGGACACAATCCCTGCCAAGTAGAGTTGTAAGGGCAGAACCACCACCTCAGTGGGACTGAATGGCAAGACCTTCTCCCCAGTGGACCTGGAGAGCAGAGCATCAAGCCAAAGAGAATTATTCTTGAGCCTAAAATTTCATAGAGTTTGCCTTACAGTTTGGACATCCTTGAGGCCTGTTATAACTTTCCTCTTTCCTATTTCTCTTTGTGGAATGGAGATGTCCATCCTATGCCTGTCCTATTATTGTATTTTGGAAGCACATAGCTTGTTTCAAGGTTTTACAGGTTCACAGTTAGAAAGCAATTTGCCTCAGCATGAATTGTACTTTGAGTCTCTCCCATATCTGATCTAGCTATTTAGATAGGACTTTAGATTTTAGACCATAGAGTTGATCTTAAGATCATACTATGGAATGAGTTAAGATTTGGGGGCTGTTAGGATGTAATCAATATACTTTGCGTGTGAGAAGGACATGAATTTGCTGTGACCAGGGGTGGAATGCTGTAGCCTGAATGTTTGTTTCCCCTGACCCTCCGAATTTATATGTTAAAATTCTAACCCTCAGTGTGAGGGTTATTAGGAGGTGGGACTTTGGGGGGATGATTAGGTCATGAGGGTTGTACCCTAATGAATGTGATCAGTGCCCTTATAAAAGAGACCCGGGAGAGCTCCCTTGTCCCTTTCATTATGCGAGAACACAGGAAGAAGGTGGCCATCTATGAACCAGGAAGTGGGTCCTCACCAGACACTAAATCTGCTAGTGACTTGATCCTAGACTTCTCAGCCTCCAGAACTGTGAGAATAAATATCTATTGTTTGTAAGCCATCCAGTCTATGGTAATCTGTTACAGTAGCCCGAACACACTAAGACACAGGGCTGTAAAGGCTACTTAGTAAATTATGTACTTATACCTTTTCCTAATACAACATGTTAGGGTTTGTTTGCTGGTTTTGTTTAATTTTGATTTTTTTTTTTGAGGCAGAGTTTCGCTCTTATTGCCCAGGATGGAGTGGCTCACCGCAACCTCTGCCTCCCGGGTTCAAGCGATTGTCCTGCTTCACCCTCCTGAGTAGCTGGGATTACAGTCACCCACCACCACGGCTGATTAATTTTTTATTTTTAGTAGAAACAAGGTTTCTCCATGTTGGTCAGGCTGGTCTCAAACTCCTGACCTCAGGTGATCCACCTGCCTTGGCCTCCCAAAGTGCTGGGATGACAGGCAAGAGCCACCATGCCTGGCCTGTTTTGATTTTTTGTCTCGTCTTTATGCAGCTCTCTCCACCTGTCTCCTATACTTTGTAGGGAATGGACTTCAGGGTAGATGCCATTTCCTGCAGCTTATTCATTGGATCTCCTTTTGCACATTTATTGACTGAAGGCAGTGGTAACTTTTAATTGATATGATACTTCCAAGGAGTCTAGCATTTACCTTGCCACAGCAGCAGTTTTATGGTGAAGAAAATGGCAGGCATCAATACTGGGACTGAGAAAGGACAGGGACTCTTTCCCAAAATTCATTAACATATTATTTTCTAGGCGATACTATTTGGTAAAACATTCATTGCATGTCAGACAAGTTCTTTTAACAAATTATAAACTATGGTCAAGACAAAGCTTGATCTTTTTTTTTTTTTTTTTTTTGAGATGGAGTTTTGCTCTTGCTGCCCAGGCTGGAGTGCAGTGGCGTGATTTCGGCTCACTTCAACTTCTGCTTCTTGGGTTCAAGCAATTCTTCTGCCTCTGCCTCCTGAGTAGCCGGGACTAAGGCATGTGTCACCGTGCTTGGCTAATTTTTGAATTTTTAGTAGAGATGGGGTTTCACCATATCGGCCAGGCTGGTCTCTCGAACTCCTGACCTCGTGATCCGCCTGCCTTGGCCTCCCAAAGTGCTGGGATTACAGGCATGAGCCACTAAGCCTGGCCAATGACTTCTTTTAAACAAAGAAATACATATAATTTCAAACTAAACCAACCTATAAACCACTGTAGGCACCTGTAGATTGTATTACAAGTACTATAAACTCTGTTGGAGTCTTTGAAATCATTCTTCCCTTGTCTTGAAGAGTGGCGCACATTCTTAGCCAAATAGCTCTAAGGTCCCATCCTATAAAATCCAAGATGCCTGACAGCCTTCGTTCGTTTCTTCTCATCTCCTTCCCCTTCAATTCAACTGGCAGA